TATTTCCTTCTTACTACATTATACACAAGGAGGTTGGATATTCTATATGAAGGGGGGGGGGGAACAGATATTTTCCTCAGCAGCAAGAGTAATTATTACAGCATCCTTTTAGAACTTATAAACTTGTTCTAGCACACACGTACTCCAGCCAACCACCCTTGCCTATGATTAGCTTGACATGTTTTTCAACCTTGAAGGAACCATTTACCTTGAAGAGAGACTGACAGACCAGGCTTTTGGTCAAGTTCCTCTTGCTTTAACTCTCTAGTCCTACTTTATCCTCTAGTCCCATTTTTTTCTGAGGTTTTCAAATATGTCCTTTTTCTTAGTTCATGAAGTTAGAGAAGACCGTGAAAGTCACCACTCCTGGTAATGTCAGGCTCAATAAGGGGTGAAGATTTGGGCTCAGCATTGCTCTGGGCACTTCTGTGCCGAGAAAGGGCTATTAACAGTAATCTGGCAATTAACTTCACCCAAGGGCGATTCTGCAATCATCTGCTAGGAAGTCACATCCTGGCTACTCTTCACCGTTGATACTCAGAAAAAAAAAAAAATGTGAACAGAAATAAACTCCAAATAATCATATCACATATGTCTTTAGGTTTGTATAGTATCAAACTGGTCTTGCCCACTGATAAAGTAGTCACTTTGGGACTCCACTGATACTCCACTGATAAAGCAGCCTTGCTGCCTGCCAACTTGCTGCCTGTCTTTCCTTCTGCTTTCTGCTCTAGCTAGACAGCTGAAAATTAGTGGGATCAGAAGTTAGAGCATAAAAATCACAAGGACTAGACTAATGTTACAAACTGTGCAAGATGCTAAACCGGAGCCTACACCCTCCTCAAATAATCACAGAATCACCGAACAGTTGAGCTTGGAAGGGACCTCTAGAGATCATCTAGTCCAACCCCGCCTGCTCAAGCAGCGACACCTACAGCTCATGGCAGAAGGTGGCATCCAGACGGGTTTTGAAGAGCTCCAGAGGAGACTCCACAGCCTGTTCCAGTGCTCTGTTACCCTCACAGGAAAGAAGTTCTCCCTCGCATGGAAGTGGAACTTCCTGTGTTTCAATTTGTACCCCTTAGCCCATGTCCTGGCACTGGCCACCATCAAGAAGAGTTTGGTCCCATCCTCCCTACATTCTCCCCTCAAGTACTTGAATATGTTGATCAGATCCCCTCTAAACCTTCTCTTCTCTAGGCTAAACAGGCTTGGCTCGCTTAGTCTTTCCTCATAAGATAGATGCTTCAGTCCCTTAATCATCTTTGCTACTGTACGCTGGACCCCCTCTAGGAGCTCCATGTCCCTCTTGTACTGGGGAGTCCAGAACTGCACCCAATACTCTAAGTGCGGCCTCACCAGAGCTGAGCAGAGGGGCTGAATCTCCTTCTTCGACCTGCTAGCAACACTCCTCCTGATGCAGGCCAGGATCCCATTGGCCTTCTTGGCCACAAGGACACATTGCTGACTCATGGTTAACTTGTTGTCATCCAGGACTCCCAAATCCTTCTCTGCGGAGCTGTTTTCCAGCAGGTCAACCCCTAATCTATACTGGTGTCTGGCGTTATTCTTCCTTATAATAAGTACTTTAATTATAATAATAGTTAATGAAAAATCAAAAGTACAACAACAACAAAAAAGCTCAATCTTATCCCATTATAATTACACAAAGGAATCTTAAGGCTGCCTTTTCAGAGGTCTTGATTGCTTGCACTTCCCTCAGTTTTAGCTGCAGTTATGCCTGATGCTTGTATCCAGGATAAGTTTAAGAGAAGCAATATAAGAACCATGGCAGAAAGTGAGAAGGCTGTTTCGGTTCACTTAATGATCACTTTCTCCTATTCTGCTCTTGCAGTTTAATCACAGAAATCATTGTGTGCTTTTACTGCTAATGATCTGATTGTTAGGAGAAAGGTGGGACCCACTCCTACTAAATGTTGACATCTTAATGTCCTCTGCTTTGAAATCCCATTCCAAAGCAGCTGCAGTTCTATTGTGCAGCATTTCCCCTGCAGCACCTCATGTTCTCAATCACCACCAGCTCCTTAGCCATAACTGCTTCCTATCCTGGCTTCTGCTCAGCACTGCAACTCACTGCAAACCAAAATCTCATAGATGAAATGCTACAATGGTGGCAATATATATATATTTTTTTTAATCAGAAATGCTATAAATAGCTGAGGTCTTGATAGCGGCATGATTTTTGTTGATCCTTACTGTTATGATCAATTTTAAAGCTGCCACTATACAGCAGCTGATCTGAGAATCTCTGATGAAGAGGCCATTTCAGCTGCATGTACCCTCAGTGCAACACACTGCACCTGCATGCAGGCTGCCATCTGCATCGTGAACAGGGCTGAAGCTGGAAGCTATGTAAGTGAGAATTCCTAAATATCTGAGCACAAAAATCCCAAAGAACTGTAATTAGTAAGTATTTGGGTGGAAAATAGGAACCTTCTACCTGACATTCCACTGCCTTAGAACATTGACTACGGAATCCTTTTTTTTTGTAGTTTTTGGGAATAACTGCCATGACTTGCACAGTTACTGCATCTCTATGTTAAACAGCATTTAACATATGATCATCACTCCTGTAAAATCCACCTTTACCAGTATTTAACAGGTTTCTATCCCAGTTCCTTACATTTTTGACAGAGTTCACTATTTGAAATTCCAGTTCTTGAATTTCTCTACCTCTGTAATTTCCATGCCAGTTTCTATGCAGTGTCCCAGCATCAGCACAGCTGTTGACATGGAAAAAGAGTCACCAAATTCAAGAAAAGAAAAATCCAAAGTATAAAACAAAAAGATAAAACAAGAGGGGAGAAAAACCTCAACAATCCAAACCCACGACCATGCATGACATTTTGGTGAACAAAACCACTGGTGCATGCCCTGGGCCTCCATGTACACACAAGTTCCTTCAAGTAATGAAGGGCATTTGGTCCTTTTTTCTCCCTTGCAGGACAACCCTGCGCGCCCATGCGCATTCGGGCAGTGGAGCCCTATGGGCTTTTGTGCGGCCTCCTGGGGCCTTTGTGCATACTGAGCTAAGGGGACCCTACGGGCTTTTGTGCAGCCTCCCGAGGCCTCCATGCACTCTGGGCCGTGAGGGCCTTACAGGCTTTTGTGCCACCTCCCGGGGCCTCTGTGTGAATGGGGCCAAGGGGGCCTTATGGGCTTTTGTGTGGTCTCCCAGGGCCTCCATGAGTGCTAGGTCTAGGGAGCCCTACAGGCTTTGGTGTGGCCTCCCAGGGAAACCACGCGCACTGGGCAAGGGAGGCCCTACAGGCATTCTTGCAATCTCCCAGACCACCGTACTCACCTGGCCTGGGGGGCCCAACAGACTTTTGAGCAGCCTCCTCGGGCCTCCATGTGCACTGGGCCAAGCGAGCCCTATGGGCTTTCCTGCGGCCTCCAGCAGCCTCCATGCACATTCGGGCAGCAGAGTCCTACGGGCTTTTGTGCAGCCTCCCAGGGCCTCCACGCGCATGGGGGCCCTATAGGGTCTTGTGCGGCCTTCTGGATTCTCCATGCGCATCGAGTCAGTGGGGCGCCTACTTTCGGGGCGCCTTCCAGATCCTCCGTTCACACCAGGTTGGGGGCGGGGGGGTCTACGGGCATTAGTGCGACCTCCCTGGGCCTCCGTTCGCACTGGGTGGAGGGGCCTCTATGGGCCTTTGTGAGGCCTCCCAAGGGCTCTGCGCGTGCCAGTCCAGGGGGGGCCCTATGGGCTTTCATGCAACGTCCCAAGGCCTCCGTGCGCACTGGACCATGTAAGCCCTACAGGCTTTTGTGAGGCCTCCCAGAGCCTCCGTTTGAGCTGTGCCTGGTTTGGCCTATGGGGTTTTGTGTGGCCTCCTGGAACCTGCATGCGCACTGGGCCGGTGGGGCCCTATGGGCCTTCGTGTGCCTTCCTGGGACCTCCATGCTCACTAGGCTGCCAGAGCCCTACAGACTTTCGTGTGGCCTCCCGGGGCCGCCACATGCTCTGGGCGGAGGGGGCCCTACAATCTTTTGTGCAGCCTCCCAGACTCTCCACGCCTGCCGGGCCGGGGGGGGGCCCTGCAGGCTTTCATGTGGCCTCCTGGGGCCTCCGTGTACACTGGGCCGGGTAAGCCCTGCGGGCTTTTGTGCAGGCTCTGTTTGTGCTGGGCTGGGTTGGCCCCATGGGCTTTCATGCGGCCTCCTGGGGTCTCCATGCGCACTGGGCCTGGGGGGCCATACGGGCTTTAGTATGGCTTCCTGTGGCCTCCGGGTGCACTGTGCCGCAGTGGCCCTATGGGCTTTCATGTTGCCTCCAGGGGGCCGCTGTGTGCAGTGGGCCAAGGGCGTGCCCTATGGGCTTTCACGCAGCCTCCCAGGGCCTCTGGGAGGGCAAATGGGGTCAGGGGGCCCCTACGGGCTATCATGTGGCCTCCTGCAGCCTCCATGCGCACTGGTCCGCAGAAGCCCTATGGGCTTTCGTGCGGTCTCCTGTGGCCTCCATGCACACTGGTCTGCGGGAGCCCTACGGGCTTTTGTGTGGCCTCCCGGGGCCTCTGTTTGCACTGGGCCAGGGGAGCCCTGCGAGCTTTCATGCAGTCTCCCAGGGCCTCTGTGTGCACTGGGCGAGGGGGGCCCTACGGGCTTTCGTGCAGACTCCCGGGGCCTCCATGTGCACGGGGCCGGGGGGCCCCATGGGCTTTTGTGCAGCCTTCCACGGCCTCCTGGGTGCGAGTGCAGCCTTGCACTGGGCCGGGGGGGCCCTACTGGTTTTTGTGCAGCCTTCGGCCTCCGTTCGCACTGGCAATGCTGTGACCTACACCATTAGCAAATACTTCCTTCGATTTAGTCTGACCAACTTTGGTAACTGCCATGGTCACAGGGAGCTTCCCTTAGGTGTAAGGCTACCCTTTGCATCACGCAGGCGTTCCCCTGGGATCTGTTTCTGTCAGCAGGAAGGTATCACTGAACAGTTTATCCTTTTTGTCTCCTTTCACAGTGTTCATTATCTTCTGTTATGTCTGGAAGTCTGGGAGAATTTCGGCTACTCTCCTCCTCAGCTGGTTCTTCCTCTCCTCTCTCTCTCTTTCCTTTTTCATCAGTAATGGGTACTGCCTCCAAGCCTTGAATGTGTTCAGCATGCGCCTCCTTAAAGAAATGGCGGACACAAAGAACAAAGTGATAAGATTAAGTGCTCAGAGTGCCAGGTAATTAAAAGAGTTCTTCCATTTTGGGGGTGAGGAGAGCGGCCTCCTCTAAAACGCTTGTGGGAGTTGTCCTTTCTCTGCTAATCAGAGCTGTGGCATGTTATCCCTCTGTGTGCAGACTGCTTCATTAATACATCAATCATCCTAGGGAAAAGTAACACCTTGCCTTTTTCTATTGCTCTCCTGTGAGGATTTTTGCTCCTTCCTCCAGGAGGATTCATTAGCTTCTGTTTTAGTGTGCTGGAGATGAAAGATGTCTCAGCAGCTTTAGCCAAAACACCAGTGGAAAGAGCTTGCTTGACTGGTCCAGACAATCACAGACAGCTGGGTTCTGCTTCTTACCTGATTTTAGGCACCCCACTAGAGGTGCCTTGCCCTGGCTCCCTAAACGGGGGAACGAACAGCCCCTTCTAAAGAGCAATTTGCCACGTCAAGGTCTGATCTGCCTCCCAGTAGCACCAGTGGAAGAAGAAGAACACTGAGCGATTACGTTCCCACTGTGAAGTCCTATGCAGAATGAATCCCGTCTCCTCCTCCTCTGAATGCTCCTCGACTCCTCCAGTTTGATGGTGGTGTGTTGGGTTGAATCGTGTACTGGTTTGATCTTACTGATTCAGCCAGCTAGAGCAGCTTCACTACACTGTGTCACAGGTGAATTTCTTTTAGTTCCTCCTCCAAGATGATCTTGCCTGGGAAAGGCACTCAGAGAGCGTACACATAACTGCAGGAGCTGATGTGCATTTGTTAAGTTAGGTAGGTGAATGGGATTCGATTCTGTTTTCTGTTGACCTTTTGATAATTGTTTTTCCTTCTGTTAAAATGCATAGCTAATCCTGTGTGACAATGAGTGAACTAGGTGTGTTCAAATCTGGTCATGACCCATAGAATTATGTGCTGTACTGCTTGGTGCAAGTAGGCTGGTGATGACAGAAACAGGAAGTTTCCCTAAGCAGAGTTTCTAGCTGGTCAGCTTTAGATTTGCAAACTGAGTCATCCACTGTGGACAAAACAGCGCAGTGTAATTCCTGCACAATTATTTGGCTTTTTGTAATTACACTTAAAGGTTTTCCTAAAGCAGCTCTTAGCAGAAGCTGCATGCCTAAATCTGCTGATCAGCTTAGAAAGTTTCAGCCATTTATTCCCTTTCATTGTATTTTCTTTCATCAAATGTAAAAGTCTTGTGAAGGGTAAGGACTAAACTTTCTTTTCCAGGCTGCACGAAAATTCTCACCATATACATCTGCTGGTGTTTTCTGTGCATGTCTTGGAAGCAAAATATGAGTAGTAGGGGACAGTGATTCACATGTTCTTGGGGAGCAGATCATTGCTCCGTGAAAAGCACAATCTCTGAAATATTTTATAGGGTATATTAAACCCAGGGAAAAAGAACCACTGGCAAGGGAAGGTACTTACTTGTTATTGTGTTCAGCAGCAGTCTTCAGCTTCTCCCATAATGCACTTTTTTCCTCCATGATCAAATCAAACCATGCCCAGAAGTGCTGCTTCTTGAGGAAGGCTGCATGGAGAATGCTCGCTCTCTCTGCCACTGCAGAAAGATAATCCTTGTACTAGGGAATAAGGACAGAGGAGATGGTGAGAACAGCTTCCTTATCCCAGGCCCCAGCTCAACAGCAGAGTGTTGAGAAAATGACAGTGAAGGGTAATGGGACAAGAGTGGAAGATAATCAGCAAGGAGCAGAATGAGGAAAGGTGGCAGTGGCCCTGGGTGGAAGGCAATGGCGGAGAGGTGAAAGAAGGTCTCTGAAGAAGGGGACAGAGGGGCTGGGCAAGGGGCAGGCTTGTCAAGGGGGGCTGTGGGGAGGACGCAGCGTAACTGCAGCTGGTGGGTTTTGTAGCACTGCCACCATTTGGTGCGGGCAAACCTTCAGCCAGTTCCTGAAGCCCATCCTGAGCAAGGAGAGGGAATAGAAGTCCTCAGCCCGGGACACCTTCTCCATGAGGCCCTGCTGGATGTGCTGGAGCCAAGCCATCAGGCACTTCCGCTGCAGGCCCAAGACGTGGTGCCTTCGTGCAACCTGGGCAAAGGGGGCAGATAAGGCAGCTGCATCAGTGACTCTAAGCCCCAGTTACATAAAACTGGACATGGTGAAAAATTATCTCAGTTTTGGGGGCCTTAAAATGCAAGCATCTGACAGCTGGAGTGACTTCTGGGTAGTTTCCACAAAAGGGGCACAGCACATAGAACAAGACTCATCTCTCTGTCATGTCTGTGCATATCCCCAGCAGCAACGCTGGTCACTGCTAGATAGTGTCCACTTGAAATACACAGCTCAACCTGTTGTGAAAGGAGCAGCAACTCCTAACAGGAGCTACCATCCCAGCCTTGTCCATAGTGCAGATCAGCAGGATGGACTTAAGGAGCAGCTGGTATCCCTCCATGTCTTCCAGCCTGAGGAACTGTACATTTGGTTGAACATTTTAGGTAGCTTCAGCCCTACTGACTAAAATGGGAGCTTGCCAGCTCAGCTGTGGGCTTTGGCTAAATCTCCAGAACTTGGCTGAGTGTTGTGAGTCTACCTGTAATA